TCTTTCCCAGTTCAATCCTCTCTTAGTGTGAAAGATTTTATTAAAGTAACAATGAGATTTTTTGTCTTCGGAGTTCAAATATTAATTACCTTTTCAGAAAACAGATACTTAAATAAGTTCTGCTAAAAATTTGCTCTTGGACCCTCACATTTTTGGAATTTCTCAGTTAAAGATACTTAGGATTAAACGTTCCACGTTTCTGTCAGATGCAGTCTTGTCATATACTTGGCAATTACTAGGACTCTGTAGAAGAAATTATGTGGGTGTTAATAAAAGACTCCCCTCATACGCCCATCAGACAAGGTCAGCTATTCAAATCAAGGTCACTCTCTCGAACCTCCCCAAATAGTTAAGGGAAGTTATGAAAACACTGTGGTTCTTATAACCGGTGATTTTGTTAGCATGAGTTTTTCTCAAATGCACTCCATCATGGACCACAGAGGAGGGACAGGAGTAGGGGGAAGAGACTGAAAAGCAGTAGTAGAAGATGCAACGGGTAACTATACATTACAATTTAAAGCAAAAGAAACCTCCGCTGCTTGCAAACACATACACAAGCGCGTATTTCTACCCTGACTTTTAATATAAATGGGAGATGATGGTCTATGAGAGGTGATGCCAGATAAGAAGTGACGGATAGACAAAGCTGAGGAACTGAGATATGCTAGTGCATACATGTGGCTTTATGATCACCATTAATCATAAGCAGCCCCATGATTACCATTACTAATGGATATCGGTTCTAAATTCACTGAATCATTTTTTAACATATTTCATGGCAAACATTAAATTACTGTATCAGAAAAGAGTCATCTGCTGACCATCTTGACGCTGCACCAATAGGCTGGAGAGCAGTCTGAGGCATATCTGTTCAAACAGTCCCTCTGCTGTGGCTCGTGCAGCCAAGTTGTTATTCTCAGACATGTAAATAGGGGAGATAGGATTTACAGAGAATTCAGATAACATTCTTGTTTTTATGGGACAACTGGATTTTTAAACCACTCATAACATTAGGCTTTCAGCTGCCCTTTGATTTAATTCGGAATATGAAAACATGCTAATCCTAAAATCATATTCTGTGTTTTAGATTGGGTTTGCATTTTGTTTTTCATCACTTTTTGCCCATACTGATCTTCGTTCCATGTGACTCACCTGCTTCTCTTTTCAGTCTTCCCTTTGTTTCTTTTTTTCTTTCAAGGCCCAAATTGGTTTTTTTTTCTGTGACACCCAAGTAACATTTCTGACCCCAGTTCTACCCTGCTTCAGAGGCCAAAGCTCTTACACCAGTCCTCAGCAAAACTTATTCTGAATCTTGAGATGGCATCCTCAGCATGTGAAGCCCCAGACTTCCCACATTTTTGGAGTTCCCTACCTATTGGGTGCTCAGCTGAAGTCACTTCCTCTATCAGGCTGTGCGGATGGACAGGGCTAGCTCCCCAGCTGCCCTCCCTCCTGTCCTGTTCAAAGTGAAACAGGGAGCCCCACTCACACAAACTGGTAGAGTGGCAGGACAGTAACCCCCAGCAGCAGAGCTCGAGAGCCCTTCTAACTAGCACAGCTGAACTCAGAAGTGGCCATCTGATCACAGCTCAAGATCAACTCTCACATCCAGAATTAAGCTCCGGCAGGCCAGCATGCCGTGCCATGAAGGAATTAGAAAAACCACTTCCTTAGTCAGATGGATGGTTTCTATTTTTGCCTTATAAAATATTGGTTCACATGTTGCTTTTAGGTGAACGGAAATCCAGTGTTAGAGCAGCATGGAATGACCTTCTCCCCTTTCCCTTTGTCCTCAGGGTGCGTCAATCCTCAGAATGCTTCGAGACTGGATTACACCAGACCTCTTCCAGAAAGGCTGTCAGGTAAGGGTGGCACCAAAACACTCCAGAAATGCAGCCCATCATCGTGTGACATTAGCAAAGCCATTATTCAAAAAGTTAATATCAGAGATCCTGGTATTAGTAGCAACAGTATTTAATGCATTTCAGTACTCGGTGGACAATGTCAAGGGGAAGAAGGTCCATGCTCCCACAGAAGCAGGAATTTTTAAGCAGGATTGTGAACTGCATTAAGATTTGATAGCCTGCCAGTGAGGACCTAAATTCATGGCAGCTTTTAGTGGAGAAACACCCTCCACCACCCTGTTATCCTGTTGTCAGCTAGGATCCCCTTGTTCAGTTGTAAAGTATGTCTGCAGCTTCATACAGCCACAATCCTCCAACCCTGCCAAGCCTGCTATGCAGGGACACTCTTACAGGCATAAGCTTATGTGTGCCCTGATGCAGGGGCACCCAGCCCTAGAGAGCCAAGGTAGTACAAAAGGGAGATATTGCACAGTTCATAGTCCTTTCTTGTTGAGGAAAAAACATGATGCTACAAAATTATGGAAAGAAAAAATGGGAGACAGGAGTGCTTCCAGAAAGACGAAGGTTGTCTGCCCTTTCCTCTGAACTGACATCTGTTGTCTCTGAAGAGTTACGGCACAGATTTACCACGTTTGTTCTGACCTCCCTCCCTCCTGGAAAGCACATTTATGGGCTACTACAAGACAGTTGTATTTTCCTTTATTTTTCTTTTCATACTTTCAATCAGGACAGTTCCACAAGATTGGAAAATACAGCCACCTTGTCCACAAGAGACTAATGTTTCCCCTCTACTCAGAGCCTTAAAGTAGGTAGCTGTGACTAACAGCGAAACAAACAGCACCATCTACTGACTAAACATTACCAGGATCCAGACAACAGGGTAGGAAAGCACTCGTTAGGCAGCCACAGGTTAGACACAGGTTAGGTAAGACACAGGACAGGATACACTTAGCCGAATACCAAATACCATTGTTCCTTGTAATGGTAATTTTGATCACAATTTAGAGGTGACTAGACTTTCCTACTTCAGCTCTGAGTCCACAGCTAGTGAAATCTCCCGAAATAGCTTCCTCCTTCTAAACAACCTCTCACATTTTACAGAAATCTGCAACAGGGTATGCTGGTGTCCATTCAAACGAAATACAAAGAACTTTTCAAGTACAAATTTATTTCATACTAACAAGTCACAATAGAAAATGTTGACTTTTAGCATTATGGGATGCATTGGAAAGAAAAGGAACTTCGTCAGCTGATTATTGATCCATTTAACCTCCTACTCACAGTACTACCACCCATGGGTTGATACTCTGTACAACTGACCTGTACTCTCTGTACCTTTGTACAACTGAATATGTGCATTGTTTTCATAGGCAAAGAAGAAAAAAATGGTAGTATTTTCACAGTCTTCTACTTCTCTCTAGGCATATTTGAAGAAACACCATTTCCAGAATGCCAAGACACAACAATTTTGGGAAGCTCTGGAAGAGGTATGTTTTGCAGCAACCCAAACCCTTCCTAATAAATGTTTCATATCTCACCCACTGATTTCAGTTTCCCAAACTTTTTATATTCTGTAGCTCTTCTGTCAATGAGAGATCACAAGCCAGGCAGCCTTCCAGTATATTCCGAAACGTCTTATTTCTAGCAAATATATATGATTTCCTCACTTTTGGCACAAGACTGTGGGTGTGGAACAAGAAACGAAAAAGGAGGCCCTGCTAATAAATAGCTTGCTACTGAAACGCAAACTCATTTCATGGTTGCAAAGACCCCTCATCCACCACACACACGTACCCCATACTCTCCCTCCTCTCTAACCAGAATCAGCTGTTTGAAAGATCTCAACAGTATCCACTCCCAAGTAATTTTGGTGCTTATCTCCATCCCTAGCTTCTGAGTCCCAGTTGGGCTATCCTCTGTCCCACCATTTTCTCATCTTTCCTTTTCCTTGAGGCTGGGCTGTTTCTTTCCATCTATCCCATTACCCCCAGAAGCCCACCTGCGTGCTACCAGGTTCTTCCCCTGATGATATTTCCTTTCCTTCCACGACTGTGGACACTCACACAGCCCAAGTTGCGCTTTGGTGTCTCCTTTCAAGTTCCCATCTTCTCCTTGATCTCAGACTTCTTCCTGCTCAGCAGGACTTCTTCCTGCTCTCTCTCCGGTGCTCTGCAACTTCATGTCACCTACCTCATCTGAAGAAGGAAACAGTGATCCTAGCTCCCTTCTCTCACAGGTGACAGCCTGGGGAGCCAGTGGCAGCTTTTGCCATCTCCAGTCTCTAGGACAGAAGTTCACAGTCCACAGAATGGATCAAATTTTACATTAGTGTAGCTGCTGGTGGTTAATACTGGCTCCTCCTTCACACTCAAAACAGGGCATGCTGCAAGGAGACTTTTGGCTTTGAAAAGTCTCTTTATGTCCTTTCTGTCCTGTTTGGTTACTTCCTCAGAAAAAAATTGAGAGACCTTAGAGCAAGCAAGGGGCCTCAAAGGTTCATCAGTATTTCTTGTCCATGTTACTGGCCAGTCTCCTGCCCACATACTTCTTGTTTCCTCTGTCCGTGTTCAATTTTCCAGCTCATTCCTTCTTTCAGTGACAGACATCATAAAAGGATTTAATGGAGTATTTTTTGTACTAAACCTGCTCTTTCCTCTGCCCCTTTCTGCTCTTCTTCCTCTCAATACCAGAGGTTTGGGGTTGTTTTTTTTTCTTTTTTGGACTGAACTTGCATTTTCACTGCAACCTTCTCCCATTGTTAATAGGCAAGTAATAAACCTGTGAAGGAAGTCATGGACACATGGACTAGGCAGATGGGCTACCCTGTTTTGGAGATGGGAAGTAACTCAGTATTCACACAGAAACGTTTTCTCTTGGATCCCAATGCAAATGCTTCTCATCCTCCTTCTGATCTTGGGTAAGTTCCTGCTTTAAATGTCTATCCAAAACGGGTAAAAATACTGTACAAATACTTTCTCCAGCTGACATACACAAAGGCAGTGTTATACCCAGTCTTGCTAAACTTACTCTCAGCGTATTTTTTTTTAAAGAAACAAGCAGGAAGTTAGAGACAATTATTTCAAATTTCAGAGAGCATCAGCTCTCTGTCTCAAGGTTTCTTTCCCAAACACAGCAGGGTAAAATTGGACAAAGTCCTCAGATCTTACTCCTGTGCACAGTCAGCTCAGATGATTGCAAATCATTTGTTGAACAACTGCAAGTTATAGTCTGCTAGACTAAGGAAACCTGACACGAAATTATCTCTGTCCAGAAATCAGATACCATGATCCAGGTATTTTATACCACAATAGTTTATTCCTTTTCCTGTATGGTATAGGATCTATAATACATCACAGTGATCTGCACATATAAAATAGGGTCTTCCCTATGTGTCTTAAAAACATGAATTACTGTGAAATAGCTAGTCATGTTTAAATGTTATTAATCCTCATCAAGAGCTGTTTTATTCTTATTTAACTCAGCATTGCTTAATTTTAGTGATCTAAAAGATAATTATCTAGTCAAAGTTAGACATCTTGGGGTTTTATGGGACCAGACAACCAGCTGCAGACATTCATCTACCCTATTCAAGGCGGGTGGGATACTGTATAGGAGCATATTTGTTAGTTAACAGATGACTGATGTGAGGGGAGATGAACCCTACCTGAGGGTTGGTGCACCTGCAAAGAAAAATGGCTCGGCTGCACCATGCCATTAACCCCTTGAATAGCTGTTCAGAGCTGGCATTGTGTATATTCTTAGCCAGACCCAATTTTGATGCAATACAACTTTCCTAATGTTTCAATGAAAGAGATTCAAATTAACCAATTTTAGGAAGATTTTGTTCCTTGAACTAGCCCAATACAACTGAACCAGTAAAACTTGCCTGTACGAATCAGAACTAAATTACTCAAATGCAATTTTCCATTAGCTTCTGCTACTTATTTTAATACAAAGACCAAGAACAAGGAGAAAATGAATAAACAGTTGGGGCCACTTTATTTCATACTGATTAAAGCAAAAAAAACTTGAGCAATGATAAGGCCCATGGTATCAGCAGTTTTGGATAGGTATCAAAAGAGCTGGGATGATATCATTACCTATGTATTTGTAATGTTGTATTTCTACCAACATAAGCACAAAAAATTGCAGACTTTTGAAGCAACTCTAGCTGCAAGCTACAGCTCTGTGCAATCTGAAGGCTGGTGTTACAGACCATTTAGGCAAAAATACTTCTTTCTGTTAAAAGTTTTGACTTATTGCACTATGCTCTGAGGTAGCAGACTCAGGAATCCTACTTTTGCTTGACTTCAAGACTTAAAGTACGTTGCCATTTGTCATTTCTTGAGTAGAAATCCCAGCACTGTTCCTACTTTAACCTGTCAAGAAGCTGTGCACTGTCCCTGCTATTCCCAAAGTGAGAGGGAAAATTGTTTCTGCATGTATAGTTTTTATAAATTACTTAGAAATAAAATGCAGTAATACATATTATAATGCTGATATTATCTATTCTGGGACTTACTCCCTTGCCTAAAAGTCAATCCACTGAAAATCAATACCTCCTCCTTCCACCCTCATGGGTGGGGATGAGGAAGCTCCTGAAGAGATCCTACCCCAGATGGGACTGGCCCATTTCATGTCGGGGCGGGGGG